ATTTAACCTTTCTCACTACTTTTTATCTTTTGTCCTTTCCCCAAATTTGGGTCTATAATCCTTTGAGTCACAACTCCAGCTTTATTTAATAATCTTTCTTCATTCACACATCTCCAAGTATTTGAAAATATTTCCTTTCCACTCAAAAATAAAATATAAATAAAGATTTATGGCTTTGTTAAACTTATTTTTTGAGTTTATGCCATTGAAATAAATAAATAATAAAAGAATTTAAACATTTATCAGTTTTGTTTACACGTTTATTGGGCCACATTGGAACTTGTCTTGGGCCGCATGCAGGCCGCGGGTTGGACACCCCTGGTTTAGAATGAAAATGGCGGAAAAAATATGACTAATCCATCTAGAGGTAAAAAAAACAAAATAACTTTCCAAACAAGCCAATAAAAAGTCTGCATTATTCTTCAGTTTATTTTCATTAAAACTGTTCATTTTGAAGTTTGTTATCAAGAAACAAAAATAATTTAAAAACTTTATAATATTCTATCAATTTTTATTTTGATTGGGTAAAAATTTGAATTGATGTTTAAATTTGGATATGAAAACACTGTCATGTGTTTTGATTTGTGAATAACATTTGAAAAAATATAGTAATTTATTAAGTAGTAATAAAATGATTAACAAACATTATATTGAGAAAATTTCTTCTAAATAATTACAATATACTTATTTTTTTTAAAACTAAAACATGAAAAAATAATTGAAGTAATAATTTGAAAAATTATTGAAATAATAATATATCTCTTTATAATATACTTTTCTAATTATGTGAAACTTTCGTGAATTACATATTCTAATTTTATTTAAATGTTTATATCTGTTTCCTTCAAATGAAATATAGACTGTAGTGGCAAAACTGATGAATTGAGGGAGAGTAAGGTGCCACTATACAGGTGGAGGGGTGTACCTTTGAATGAGTGAGCAAGTTGTTCAGTGTTGTGTGTACTGTATCTGTAAATCCTTGTGTACAATAAATCTCATTGGACATCTGAATCTGTTTCATTTGAAGGAACTAAATAATTTATTAATTCAAACTCTATTTTTTTAATGTTTTTAATATATATTTATTAAATCTAATTCTTTATTCTCTTTTATAGAAAATTGAATTGATTTATTTTACTTTTTATGCAGATTAATAAAATAAATAGTTCATATACTGTGTATGAAACAATTTATATTTTTATTTAAAAATTTAATTTGTTTTTTTATGAGATTTAATGGATTTTGTATTACTACTTTAGTTCATACATAGTAATTTCTATATTCATAATAAATTTATTTTATTGACTTGTGCAGTTGATATAGCTTTTATGTAATTAAGCTGCATATTAATATGTATAATGTAATTTATGAATTATGGTCATTATTTTATTTTTTAGGCTGTTCTAGATACAAACATAATTTTTGTACAGAACTATTTGGAAAATATAGAACCATATCTTGGCTTAAAAGATCCAGCTCCATTTCCTAAAATGCAGGTATGATGAAATTTTTACATCTGTTTAGATCAGTTTTAGCATAACCATGGGACTCAGTCATGCAGAAGAACAATTTTTAGACTGACCTTAAATATATGCTTTTGCTTAATTTAACAAATATTTCCTCATTATAATTTACATAATCAAAATTTTACTGTTTTATGTAGATAAAAATTGATAATAGTTAATGCCATCATTTTTTACAGAACCATATAATCTTTATTTATTTATTTATTTTTAATTATAAAAATTGTATTATTTGTTATTGCATTAATTTTAAATATATTTAAATTTCAGATGCTGGTATATTTGTTTTACTTTCTTCCAATATATATAATTAGTATTTATGGACTCTCATATCCTGGCTGTACTTGGATGATTGATCTTAGTTTATTTCATGCTGGAGCAGCATTACAAGTAAGAAGTTGTTATTCTTTTTTAATACATGTATAAAAAAATTTTGTATTAAAATCTTTCATTATATGTTTAGGCCCAAATCTCTCACATGGGAGCTTCTTTACATCCACGTACACCATATATCTTGAGAGTTCCACCAGATTTATATGCACGGTCTGTGTTTTGGATAATAAATCTCATTTTAGCTATTATTCCTCAATTAATTGCATATCGTTGTATGGATCAACCAGAATTATTTGTTTCTCAATCCTCAACAATTAACAAAAATGGCACAAAATTGAAAAATAATTAATTTATGAGTTTTTATTATGGCTTTTTTTTTTAATCTCAGATTATGTGAATAAATAAGTTTAATGTTTGAATTAATTCACGTAGAAAAAGTACAAGCATTTTTAATAATATATTAAAAAGAAATGTAGTAGTATAATTATAGAAAAACAAGGTATAGTAATAACAGACATTAATAACAACAGTTTATTTTGTCCTTGTTTTTTTATAATAAAAATAATTCTTAGTTCTATAGCTTTTTGATATACAGATATATTCCATTGATACAATTCATGGTCTAATTTTGGAAAAATGAAAATCTTATTGGAGTTGTGAATTCTTTTAGGCTATGTTTTATATTTTCATAATCAAATACATTGCTCAAACCATTAATATTTGCAACAAAGTTTTAAAATATTTTATGCATTGATTTTGTTTGATATTTGTGTATATTTTGAGAAATGAACTTGTTGTTTTAAGGATAGAATTATTATGGAATTTGTTTTGATCATAGTAAACGAATTTTAAATGTTTAATATATTCTGCTAAATAATCTATATTCAGTAACGTATTTTTATAGGAAGCTTTATGAATATAAGCATATATCATATTTATAATAAGAGCTAAACAGTTTCAGAGTCCTGCTTCTGAATATATGTCTGTAATAGAATATGTCTATCATATAAACATGAAGTGAGTTTAAGCTATTTAAATCAAACAGTCTTCCTGTCCCACAAATTCATTTTTCTGTTTTTATATCTTTGTGGTAAACATCTTAATATGGATGATCGAAAGAATCAAATTAAACTGTTTTTATTTAACTATTTTGATCATTAATACTAAGATGTTTACCATGTATTAGAATATGTCTGTAATAAATCTCTTATCAAAATTCCATCTTAAAATATTTTGTATCTTTGTCTTTCAAACTTTATTATTTGCTATGAAGCAATAAGACATTGTGACAGCAGAATAATTTTTTACTATAAATAAAGGATTTTGCTAGATTAAGAATTGTCTTGTTGTTTCATTGTTTATATATTCCAATTCTATTTATATTCTTAACTTGTCTTGGGCTGCATGCAGGCCGCGGGTTGGACACCCCTGGTTTAGAATGAAAATGGCGGAAAAAATATGACTAATCCATCTAGAGGTAAAAAAAACAAAATAACTTTCCAAACAAGCCAATAAAAAGTCTGCATTATTCTTCAGTTTATTTTCATTAAAACTGTTCATTTTGAAGTTTGTTATCAAGAAACAAAAATAATTTAAAAACTTTATAATATTCTATCAATTTTTATTTTGATTGGGTAAAAATTTGAATTGATGTTTAAATTTGGATATGAAAACACTGTCATGTGTTTTGATTTGTGAATAACATTTGAAAAAATATAGTAATTTATTAAGTAGTAATAAAATGATTAACAAACATTATATTGAGAAAATTTCTTCTAAATAATTACAATATACTTATTTTTTTTAAAACTAAAACATGAAAAAATAATTGAAGTAATAATTTGAAAAATTATTGAAATAATAATATATCTCTTTATAATATACTTTTCTAATTATGTGAAACTTTCGTGAATTACATATTCTAATTTTATTTAAATGTTTATATCTGTTTCCTTCAAATGAAATATAGACTGTAGTGGCANGCCTTCATAAAGGATGTACTTTTCCTTTGTTTAAGGGTATTTGGGCAGTTTATTCTCTGTTGTATTCTCAAGTAAACAATACATACAAGTACAGTACAGTATTTTCTGAGGAAACACTCATACTTATTTTTTTAACCCCATTCCCGATTACCCGGCATTTTCACAAACTCGGCCACCCTTCGGTCCACATTAGGCCGAGTTTTCGAGACTCTACTGTATTATTAAATGATATTCAAAGTTTTCTGGTTTTCTATATCAATACTTTTTATATAATTTTAATTCCATTTTGATTAAATCATAATTATTTAATAAATACATTTCTTATAGTTATATAGTAAGTGATTCCTAGAAATAACTTTATAAATTGAGAACGTGCAAAAAAGGAGAGCGATTTAACATATTTTTCAATATTGAGCATTTTAGGTAATTTTCATTCTCACACATTATAATAAATAATAATATATTATATAATGCATAATAAATGACATAGATAAGAAATAATATTTTTTACTACATTTAGTGAATTATAATAAGTTTGTGTGTTACATCTGAATATGGTCATTAGACATTGAATGCAAAAATTGTAGAATAATATGAAGAATATTTAGATACTTAATCTGCTCCAGGAATATGTTCTGAGACTAATAGTAATATTAATAAATGCACTCATTAGGTATAAATAAGAGGGGATATGAAGAAGCAGAGACAAGACAGGAAGTAGAGATAATGCATCATATTTTAGTTTGTAACTTCAAGATTTGATTCTGAATTAGTAACTACTTATATTTATATTTTATTTAGACAAATTTACTATACATAACTGTAATAATTGAAATTACTAAAGTATTGTAATTGAATTGAATTATAATATAGTGAATGAATGAGAGTAGATCAGAGATGATAATTTTGGATTTGGTTTTCTAAATTACAGTAAAACCTCACTTATGTATCCATCTTTGGAATGGACAATTTAAGATGATTTAAGATGGTCACCTAGGTGGTGTTATGAAAATATTCATATACAAAACTATGATTAGAATACTGTACTGAATCCTGCTAAAAGTTTACTACAGATTATAAAGTAAACAATAAATAAATTTATTTTATTTTATTAAAACCTCACAAAATACTGTACATCCTTTGCAATATATAGTAATTCAAGTTTTCATACAGGGTAATGTATTAACACTAAGTACTATAATACTGAAACACAGAGTACACATACAGTACAGTGAATGCAAGTTGTTTGCAGTAAGGTTTATTCCAGTACTTGTTTAGTATCCATAGACAGAATCAATACTCCAATGAAATCAATGTGTTTATTACTATTTTATAAAGGTTTTATTTAAATACTATTTTAACAAGAAAATGCAGGGGGAGAAAAAACGATTAGTAGAAGTCATTAAATATGTGGAAGTCTCCAAGTGTCAGAAAAAAGTGTTAATAATTAAACTAGTTTTAAATCAAGCTTGTCGATATTTTTCCTCATTGAGTGTTGCGAGTGACTTATCAGTGATGCAGACCAAACATCACTGATTCACATAGTTATATTTTTACAAACTAAAATTAAGTTTTGTATAAAATGATTGATCAAATATAAAATTGTCTTTCTTCTTACTAAATTCCGGAGATAAAAATCTTTATTTACATAAAATAAAATAAATTTAATTTGTTTAATCATCATCTGTTGGAGAGTTCTCAGCAAACTTCCAAAGCTGCAACAACAATGCCCAATTTCTTTTAAAGCATTTTAAACAATATTTTTTGTTTAGAAACATGGTGTTTTTCTGTTTTGTTGGCTACATAAATGGGGATAACTGTCACTTTAGGACATTCCTATCTTGGTCAATTAAGTAAGTTTACCTAAGATGCTTAAGTTTTAATATAAATCAAATTCCATTGTTTTGGGGGAATCTCAGGGATGGCCACATAAGCAAGATTTTACTGTACTATATATATATGTATGAAAACTTTTGCATGTCTTTAAGAGATGAGATATTTTTTCAAATGCATATATCTGAGAAAATATAAATTGAGAATGCATAAAATAAAAATCAAGTGTTTAATAATATATAATTATTCATATTAAATATTATATATAAATAAATCTTACAACTAACAATTTATATACAATAAATTATGTATATTCTTTTTAATCACAGTTTTAATATTTTTATTATACAGGATAGCATAGTATTGAAGTTAAAGAACAAATTATGTTTTGAATGAGCAAATGAATTTGTCATCCTGTTTCACAGTATTCAATATATTGTTTCTATCTGAGAAATGTTTTTGAATCTAATCTATTACTTACGAATATAAAAATCTATACTATCTAATTGGAAAAACTGAATTAAAATAATAATTGTTTATTTAATAGTTTTAAAATAATTAGAGTTTTATTATTGCATTTGAATGGTAATTATATACAATATAATTAATAAAAATCTAAAATATCTTTAGATTTATATATTACTTTTATTGAAAAATTACTGATTCAGTAAATTAAAAATTAATTACAAATATATATATATATATATATATATATATTGGAACTCTAACAGGAAAAAAACTTAACAAAATATTAGAAATAGCATCAAATTTCTTATTGTTGGTGACTTTAATGTACAGGTAACTTTAATTTGGAATATGAATGAAATTTATGTTTAAGTTAAAATATCAATTTAATTTAGGTTTTTAGCTTACTTAATTTTTTATAAATTTATATTTTATGAAGAAATGAAATATTTCCATTATTAATTTTATATTAAGAATATTTTCATAAATTACATGTACCATTGTCTTTATTTATGCTATTATTTTAATGTAGATATGAAATTATATCCAAGTTTACTAATTTATTTTAAAAGTTTTAGTTACACATTAATACATTATATATATGTAATATGATATTATATAAAAGAGAATTATAGAAATTTAAAATGTATTTTTAATTTTTATTTAAAACATTAAAACTAAAATCTTATTTTTACTTTATTTTTCAAATATAATTTTGAAAGTAATATTGGCTTTTACAATTTTACAAACTGATAATACTGTTTTCACTTTTAATTTTGAATAGGTTATAAAATCTGGTAAGAGTGTAGAAATCTGCATATAATAATAAACACAAAACACAACAAATGAATTGATAATGAAGTTTTATTTTTAAATTATGTAGTAAAAGAATTATTGATGGTTGAGACAAATCTTCTCTAATAAGAGTGCTTACCTTTTAGATTGAAAGACTTGAATCTGTCAATAGTATTAGATTCAAAGCTAAAACATTCTCTCTTTCTCTCTAGTGTTCTTTGTAATAGGTCTTTGGAGTATAGCATCATCCTTTTCTCCATCACCTTCTATCCCTCACCATAGCTTTCAGTTCTGAATATCTCTCTTCATCTCTAATATCATCTAGTAATGATAATCTTTATCTACTTTTCCATCTATCATTCACTTTATAACATCTGTCATTAGACCAGTGGCGTGCCATTCATGGAAGCTGTGGAAGCACCGCTTCCCTTGTATTTTCTAAAATATAAATACTGTACATATTGTGCAATTATTTTCATATTTTAACATACTCTAAATTAAGTAAAATATTAATTTTATTATAACGGCATTATGTATCTTATTACAAATTTCTATACTACATGTTAAAAACAATGATAAGATTGCTATTATATATTTGAATATAAATTTGTATATGCATATTCCCAATGAAAGTGCTGTATTGTCCAATATGGGATAGTTTCCATGGTGAAAATATTTGAATGGTGTAAAGCAGCCAGATTACAGGCATTTGTGCATGTGCTTTGCAGAGCACCAACCTCACATGATTTAGCTCGTGGATGCTACATATTGTATAATGCTTCCAATGATTCTATCCAGGGCCGGCAGAGCTTCCCTATCATCAAATGTCACCTCATGTCACTGCATTAGACAGTTTCCTTTCTTTCTTAAAACATGTCCAATCCAGTTTCTTTTTCTAATTTCTTTCATTAATTTTTTTCTCTTCTCTTCAACCCTCTCTAACACTTCTCTATTTTTCACTTTATGCATCCAACTAATTTTTTTCCATTCTTCTCCATGCCTATACCTCAAAGGCTTCCAATCTCTCTCTATCTCTCTCTCATTCTTTCTTTCTCTTTCACACAACATTCACATATCACAGCTATAAAATTACACATTTCATACCTCGGGTTTCAAAAACCTCACTTTTCAAACAATTTGGTTTACAAACAATATTTTGAACTTGTTTTTGCTCTGGTTACTGTACAGTAACTCAGTTGCCAAACTAGCTACTTGGCAGAGCCAGCTACAGATGGTCAACTTCTTATACTTCCTATGTTAAAGAA